AACAGTAATTGATGGTGTGTTAACTTGAATAATGTAGAGGAAGCTAGGGACTAATACAGTAATTGATGGCGTGCTGACTTGAACAATGTCGAGGAAGCTAGGGACTAATACAGTAATTGATGGTGTGTTGACTTGAACAATGTGGAGGAAGCTAAGGACTTATACAGTAATTGATGGTGTGCTGACTTGAGCAATGTCGAGGTAGCTAGGGACTAATACAGTAATTGATGGTGTGTTGACTTGAACAATGTGGAGGAAGCTAAGGACTAAAACAGTAATTGATGGTGTGCTGACTTGAACAATGATTGATGGTGTGCTGACTTGAACAATGTGGAAGAAGCTAGGGACTAATACAGTAATCGATGGTGTGTTGACTTGAACAATGTAGAGGAAGCTAGGGACTTATACAGTAATTGATGGTGTGCTGACTTGAACAATGGGGAGGAAGCTAGGGACTAATACAGTATATGATGGTGTGCTGACTTGATCAATGTGGGGGAAGCTAGGGACTAATACAGTAATTGATGGCGTGCTGACTTGAACAATGTCGAGGAAGCTAGGGACTAATACAGTAATTGATGGCGTGCTGACTTGAACAATGTCGAGGAAGCTAGGGACTAATACAGTAATTGATGGTGGGCTGACTTGAACAATGTGGAGGAAGCTAGGGAATTATACAGTAATTGATGGTGTGCTGACTTGAGCAATGTCGAGGTAGCTAGGGACTAATACAGTAATTGATGGTGTGTTGACTTGAACAATGTGGAGGAAGCTAAGGACTTATACAGTAATTGATGGTGTGCTGACTTGAACAATGGGGAGGAAGCTAGGGACTAATACAGTATATGATGGGGTGCTGACTTGGACAATGTGGAGGAAGCGAGGGACTAATACAGTAATTGATGGTTAGCTGACTTGAACAATGCGGAGGAAGCTAGGGACTAATTCAGTAATTGATGGTGTGCTGACTTGAACAATGGGGAGGAAGCTAGGGACTAATACAGTATATGATGGGGTGCTGACTTGGACAATGTGGAGGAAGCGAGGGACTAATACAGTAATTGATGGTTAGCTGACTTGAACAATGTGGAGGACGCTAGGGACTAATTCAGTAATTGATGGTGTGCTGACTTGAACAATATAGAGGAAGCTAGGGACTAATACAGTAATTGATGGCGTGCTGACTTGAACAATGTCGAGGAAGCTAGGGACTAATACAGTAATTGATGGCGTGCTGACTTGAACAATGTCGAGGAAGCTAGGGACTAATACAGTAATTGATGGTGGGCTGACTTGAACAATGTGGAGGAAGCTAGGGAATTATACAGTAATTGATGGTGTGCTGACTTGAGCAATGTCGAGGTAGCTAGGGACTAATACAGTAATTGATGGTGTGTTGACTTGAACAATGTGGAGGAAGCTAAGGACTAATACAGTAATTGATGGTGTGCTGACTTGGACAATGTGGAGGAAGCTAGGGACTAATACAGTAATGATGGTGTGCTGACTTGAACAATGTCGAGGTAGCTAGGGACTAATACAGTAATTGATGGTGTGCTGACTTGAACAATGATTGATGGTGTGCTGACTTGAACAATGTGGAGGAAGCTAGGGACTAATACAGTATATGATGGTGTGCTGACTTGAACAATGTGGAGGAAGCTAGGGACTAATACAGTAATTGATGGTTAGCTGACTTGAACAATGTGGAGGAAGCTAGGGACTAATTCAGTAATTGATGGTGTGCTGACTTGAACAATGTCGAGGAAGCTAGGGACTAATACAGTAATTGATGGTGTGCTGACTTGAACAATGTTGAGGAAGCTAGGGACTGATACAGTAATTGATGGTGTGCTGACTTGAATAATTTAGAGGAAGCTTAGGACTAACACAGTAATTGATGGTGTGCTGACTTGAACAATGTGGAAGAAGCTAGGGACTAATACAGTAATCGATGGTGTGTTGACTTGAACAATGTAGAGGAAGCTAGGGACTTATACAGTAATTGATGGTGTGCTGACTTGAACAATGTCGAGGAAGCTAGGGACTAATACAGTAATTGATGGTGTGCTTACTGGCTCTGATTTACTGAAACCGGCAATTCTGAGAATTTAGACAAGATTCAGATGTTCAGCTATATGGACTAATTTCACGGACATTCCATGATTGCAATGCCTATCTCAGGACATCAATTGTCTAATATCCCTAGTTTACTCAACATTGGTCACCTTTTTTTGACTCCTTCCTGCTTGAATAATAACAACCAGAACTTGCATCAAAATAATAAAATGTGTGTTGTTTTGAATTTATGGTTTGACTGTATTGCTATTGGATAAGTATGTTTTGTGTTGATTTAAATTTGTAAAAATTGTTGAAATAACATGACACACAGATAATAAGTATCAAACAAAAAGGATGCATTACTGTATACCGCCAAACTTCCAACTAGTCAAATGTTTGCCCTTCAGGGTTTAATACATATTCACCAAGTCTTAATTTTGAAATAATGTATATCAGAATAAAAGATGACACTGAATGAAAATTGAGAAAGTAATGTCTTAAACATATCACTTTCCTGATTCCACTGTGATCCTCAACATTGCCTAGCAACAAAACAAATATCCTTTTTCTACATAAGTTAGCTATGTGAGTACCTGTGTATTGCAGGGAGAATCTGGTTGGTCGGCTACCAGGTCCTCATAGTTCTCTTTGACCCATTCAAATAATGTGAAGGTCATGGCACACTCCAGTAGATCTGGTACCTGAAACATCAATGTACTGAACTTACTAACAGTTAAACATACCAATCAATTTGGTTATCCTACTCATACCTAGAATACTGTCCTACATATATAGTACTATAATAGTATTATACTTAGAATGTAATATAATGACTTTCTGAACAAACTGTACATATAATAAATGGAAAGTTCTGTTAAATACTTACTTTATATATTATTAAGAGGATTAAACATTTGCTAAACAAGTATTGATTCAGGGCAGGAACAACAACAGATAAACAACACTTGTTTCAATATGTTTGATGTTGTGTAAGATTTAACACCATTGTAACATATCATTATACAGTAGGGTCAACGGGTCAGAAAAAATGTTCAAAGTCAATTTTGACTTTTTTTATTCCTATTGAAAAGATACCTGTAATTATTAAGTTCTCCTCAAAAAGTTTGATAGAGAAAACATAGGAGCTTAAACAGCCTGGGCAGATCCCTAGTAACGACATACTCCACGAAGTACGAGTCTGAAACAGTCTGCAGAGGTCACTATTACAGATGTATTTCATGGAACAGAAGTCTTAAACAGAGTGTGCAGACCATCGTAATAGAGATACTTCAGGGAACACAGTCTGAAAACACCACTGGACAACACACCCAATAAAACTTGCAATTTGAACAAAATTCTCTGGATGCAGAAGTCAATGTCAACCATGACATATGATGGAAACAATATATGTATTTCTATGGCTACGTCTGGAAGTTTGAAATTTCCTTGAATTATTTATTTACCTGTTCCTGAAGGCCACTAAGGATTTTTTCTTTCACTCCATTAAGTCTGAAAAATGTTTATAAATTATTTATAAGATTTAACAACAGGATAACATTGGACAGATGTACCAACCATTCAATTCTCATCAGGGAATTGGAGCATGATACAGATTATTTTGACAAAATTTATTTTAATTCATTCATTTGAAGCAATTAATTATATGTTTATATGTAAGCATTTGACCTTATTTCAGTTGACATTTATAGTCAATATGAATACCTGGTAGATAACACATACATGCGTTTGTTATATAGATAATACATACATGTGTTTGTTATATAGATAATACATACATGTGTTTGTTCTATAGAAAATACATACATGTGTTTGTTCTATAGATAATACATACATGTGTTTGTTATGTAGATAATACATACATGTGTTTGTTATATAGATAATACATACATGTGTTTGTCATATAGATAATACATACATGTGTTTGTTGTAGAATGTGTCCAGGTTGATGGTGGGACTCTCCTCAGGATAATTATCATCCCAAACAATCTCTACATTAAACGTCTTGTAGCTGCCTTCCTCTCCATACTGGTAACATAACATAGACAAGTAAAACCTTCTTCTCCATACTGGTAACATAACATAGACAAGTAAAACCTTCCTCTCCATACTGGTAACATAACATAGACAAGTAAAACCTTCCTCTCCATACTGGTAACATAACATAGACAAGTAAAACCTTCCTCTCCATACTGGTAACATAACATAGACAAGTAAAACCTTCCTCTCCATACTGGTAACATAACATAGACAAGTAAAACCTTCCTCTCCATACTGGTAACATAACATAGACAAGTAAAACCTTCCTCTCCATACTGGTAACATAACATAGACAAGTAAAACCTTCCTCTCCATTTTGGTAATGAAGTTATGTAAAAACTTACATATGCATAGCCTATAGTTACCTTCTAGTGATTCTGGTCACACAATAAAGACTACCATAGTACAAACTTACATAACTTACATAGGGTTGATTTTCAAGTAAAATAAGGCTTCTTTGGATGTATTTGTGGAAAGTATAACTGAAAATGGTGTTCTGATAATATTTATATATATTATATATATTTATTTGCTTGAATTAAGACAAAGTATTACCTTGTACTGAAATGTTGTAGGGCTCACTTCCTTAAATGCTTCATCCCCTTCATAGATGGAATGTAATACCTCCAGTTCCTCCTAAACAAATTACAAGTTTAGTGTGACTAGGATATGTGTAATGTCTGGTGGTAATGTTTGGTGAGAGTTTTGTTTTCTCTGTATTTCTGTGTCAAACATAACCCCCAAATCCTAAAAGCATGTATTTGGTACAGGCGCCAGACTGCCAATGTGATATATACATGTACAGCATCAATTCAAACATTTTCTATGAAATTAATGCATTTTTGTAGATCTGTAAAAATATTCATTATCCACTATCAAGTTGTCGGTCAGATATGGAATTTATGGAATTCTCGTATGATCATCATAAAAATAAGATAACAAAAGCAAAATCATGGGCCAACAACTGATGGTAATAGTTATAACTGGATGAAGGCCTTACTTCATATAGTACAGTATAGTTATTGCTGTTATCTACAAACATTACAATAAATATTTTATTACCTCTTGTTGTTCTTTACAACTCATCTTTGTGTTCTAAGCTGATATGGTATAGCTGATGTTATATTCTTATCCAGATTGCATCATTGATTCATCTTGGATTCAATTTTGCTGAAAAGGAAAACACAGATAAACAATGCAGTATTGTGCAATCATCATTCTGTCTTTTGTTTCCATTTCCTTCTTTGGAAAAAGAAAGAGATTTGTGAAATACAAAAATGGTTCCCTTTCAAATTATATTTGTAGCAGAATTGGACTGGGTCAATCGTCGGTGACCAGGTTGCTCCATCGGTAGAGCATCTGTCATATAGTTTGGTGAGTCCCAGATTGGAATCCTGGTCCTGTCATGTAATTCCCTTTTTTCCAATTACATATCTTAAAAAACATTTCAATTTCAATGAGCCATTGCATAGTATTTTCTAAAACTGCAAAATTTATTTCCAATATGCCATTTTTCTGCCGAGTGTCCCTATAGCTAGGACTCGCAGACCCCTGTCGCTCTTTCTTTACAGGTGGAATGGAAAGAAGCTGTTTGATAATGAATTAGCTGAAAGTCTTCTTTGATATCGTCATTATGAAATGAAAAAAATAACACTCCGTCCAATCTCGTTAACCTTAATGATATATTAATTGCATCATAGTTGATTACTGATTCATAGTGGATACAGTTATAAGACGGGTTCTGAATGTCAATAAATAAATTGTCATGGGGATGTTATCACACTCACTACATCGTTGCATTAAGGTGGAGTCTGAGACATAAAGACATAAATGAATATGTACAAGCTTTATATATATACACCAGATGGCATTCTTCAGTTTTTTCTATTTGTAGATTTCCTGATTTTTTTACTTTTCTTGAACTAAAGCCTACAATGGAAAGACATGTAATGTTCCTGATATTTTTTTTTAAATCATCAGATTGTCATTGCTTTATTGATAAAATTTCAAATACAAATAGTTAAGATTGAAATATCTGATGTCCCATTTTTTTCTTCGACCATGGACAGGTATCTGCCTCGAATTTAAGGGGGATCTACTATACACATAGAATGTATCCCCCTTTTTAGTGGCAGATCCCAACAGACCAATGGACCATGGCATATGTGTTCGTGTTTAACGTTATGCCTAAATATAATTCATATCATTATCATGACTTTGATGTTTTCAGTATGATCTGATGGCGCTGTTTATATCTTGATGCATACATTTTTTAAATATATAACTGAAGATATAGTAAAACTTACCTACAACCTGGTATGCTCTGTTACACTCTGAACCTCCTCATTCATGCCACATCATGGGCGCAGACATCTTACTTTTTCTAATTTTGGAAAAGTATTTCCGGATTGGGACTTCATTATCCTAGGTTCCTATGATAATGTGATATAATTTGAACCAAAAAATACTTATTGATTTCCTTGGCAAAATATTTACGTATTTGTGAACTCTTTGTTATTTTTAATGTTTTGAGACGGACAATTTTTTCTTCATTTACCGGATTTTTCTTATCCAGTTTTGTAGTTTAGAAAGTTTTCTATGTTTCCTGTTAGACGCCTGGCAAAGTAGGAAATGTCATGGGAAAATATCATCCTATATTACCTTTGAAGCGTACGACATAACACTGTTTTGTGAGTATGCCATATTCTTGAAGCAAATGTGTCCATATCTGCAAATAATGTATCAGTATTTAGGAATACGCATTTACCACACATTCAGATAAAACGTCAGTCTCAGGCTCGGCATTTTGGCTGATTGAAGCCACTGACAGACTGAAGCTGGATCGAATAAAATGGCTTGGTTGAATATTGATTAAAAAAATAAACAAACAAGTTATCTAATATCCATTTAATTTATTTTTCTGTAACATACATATGCTATATGACAATAAATGTAGATACTGTGGCACATGCCATTTCATCCAGAACAGCTGTACTCCAACCAAACTACATGTTCTAAAACCTATCTTGACATCACCGTCCAAGCAAAATTAGAATTGGACACCCATATTAGAAACAACTGCAATAAATCAGATTCAAGGTAAGGCTCCTGAATGCACAAATCAGTTTAACCACCAACAGTAGTCATACAAAAACTTAGTCTAAGAGTAAAAGACTACAGTTTGGGACCTTCACACTCTGAGTGAATGTGAACAAAATTTAGAAATCATCCAACATAAGACTGCCTAGTTTGTTATAGAACATTCACCGGAATAGGTCTAGTTCAGGGAATATGCCTGTCCGAAATCACTGACAATCACCTTTTGATATTATTTGATAGCTAGGACAGAGATATCTATGTATTTGATAAATAAAGTACATGTAGGAATAAAAAAAATATAATATTATGTATCATGTTCACTCTGGGAGGCCCTAGCATGCAACATTCCAAACTTTGCAGGATTTAATTGAGGTAATGTTTACATACATTAACCAGTCAAAAAGATGAGTCCAGTACTAAGAACTTGTGCTTTGCATGTACCCTATAAATTAGCGCTGAATCAGTTCTTGAACTTACATTTTATGTAAAGCTTTAGTAGCACCAAGCAGTGTAAATATTCTCAAAGAAAACATTTATGCAAGCAAAAAAGCATATTGAGACAGCAAGAACAAATTAAATTTCATAAAGCCAGAACCTCATTAGAAAAGATGGCGTTGTAGAATCTATGAATCAAATTCTGGGGTGAGGTATACATACAAACATTAATATGAATAAATTCATTAGTAACTATTTCGTTTTGTCATGCAGAGAAAGGAAATCACAGGGTAATCTTAGTATGGCCTGGGCAAGTAATCTTCCTCAAGAACTTCTCTGTCGACCGACTGCCCTGGTATCTCTCACTGGGCTAGACGTAACATACAACGCTATCCACAAACTGATCTGGGACTCATTTGTTAATAACCGGCGATCTGATCGCGTCCCACTACAGTTCAAAGTCACTGCTGGAGACCATGAGTATCCCAAGTGTAGAACCAATAAGGTGAGTTTAAATTGTGAATTGTATAGAAAACTAGTGGGTTTGAATTCATATCAGCCTCATATATACATGTAGTAGCTGTTATGTGAATGTAAAGCTGTAACAAATAAATTATCACATTGGGTTGTAGATACAGTAAACATCTTTGTGGTTAATTTTAATTAGGTCAAATATTTATGCTGATTGTTGACACAGTTTTTCACTTGTTTGATGTGAAGAAGTTTATGACTTCTTTAACAGACTATCTCCATATTACACAACGTTGATAGGGATCCAGACATGTGGTTTTGAAAATATAACTGTGATTTACTTCTCCTGCAGCGTCAGTCCTATGAGTGGTACATCCCTAAGGGCGTGCTGAAGAAGACATGGATGAACAAACACTTGAATCAGGTTCCTGCTGTTGTCGTCGTCTTCTTTGACCTGGACTGGGATGAACATCTCTGGAAGGAAAAGCAGATGGAATGTGCCACACGTGTGGAAATTGTCAGGTAAACATTTAGGATTTGTGCATGTGTGCTACCTATCTGAAAATTGTCATAAAACCTTTAAAGTCCTGGTTGGGACTCAAACCAAACAATCCTGCAAATAATCTCTTAGTTCATGGTGATGGTGGTTTGAATTATACAAAGCTCATCACTATTTGTCCATTATATGAAGGGATATAGGAATCTCAACACCTAAGAATGGGGCAGTGACTTTATTGAGATCTACATGTTTTATACTTTTTACCATTATAGGAATAGCCTACTCAACAGAGGAACAAAGGTAGCTGTGGTACTTATCCAGAAGAATGCCCCCCTGCCCCCGGGAGAGGATGTGGTGGCTGCAGAGAGGGCGGCCTCTCTGTGTAGTGCATGTGATCTGTCTGCTAAGCAGCTGTATGTTCTTCCACACACCGACCACCTCATCGGTTACACCATCAGGTATAACATATTTTACCTGAAAGTCTTATTTACAGGTGGACAGTGGCCTTCATGTTACATGTCATGAATAATTTGCTAGTTATGTAAATTCAATTGGAAGAAAAAGAATTTAAAAAACGACATAATTACTCATATTTGTCAATGTGTAAAGATAAGAAATGTATCATACTATGATAAGAAAATCTATCTTTTTATGAGTATCAATTTTGACATACCTTGTCTTAATTGAATCAAACCTGATAAAAAAAATGATATTCAACATGAGCAACTGGTTTGAGGAATTCAGAATAACAAAAGATTTTACTTATATTTGTGGGTGTCAAACATTCAGAATGATAATGCTCTCCACTTTCAGATTGGAAAATGCATTTTATGAGTTGGCTCAGAGTTACTATCATGGAGAGGCTAGAAAAGTGAAGGCACACAGAGACTTCCTCAACAAGACTACCCACCAGGTACGTGATACAACCGTGCACAACTTCTGTCGTTGATGTGACCTCTGTCATTGATGTGACCTCTGTCAAGTATGTGACCTCTGTCAATGATGTGACCTCTGTCAGTGGTACAGCCTCTGTCATGTATGTGACCTCTGTCATGTATGTGACCTCTGTCATTGATGTGACCTCTGTCATGTATGTGACCTCTGTCATTGATGTGATCTCTGTCATTGATGTGATCTCTGTCATTGATGTGACCTCTGTCATTGATGTGATCTCTGTCATTGATGTGACCTCTGTCATTGATGTGACCTCTGTTAATGATGTAACCTCTGTCATGTATGTGACCTCTGTCAGTGTAGTGACCTCTGCCAGTGTAGTGACCTCTGTCAGTGTAGTGACCTCTGTCAGTGTAATGACCTCTATCAGTGGTACAACCTCTGTCATTGATGTGATCTCTGTCATTGATGTGATCTCTGTCAGTGTAATGACCTCTGTCAGTGGTACAACTTCTGTCGTTGATGTGACCTCTGTTATTGATGTGACCTCTGTCAGTGATGTGACCTCTGTCAGTGATACAACCTCTGTCAGTGGTACAACCTCTTTCGTTGATGTGACCTCTGTCCGTGGTACAACCTCTGTCGTTGATGTGACCTCTGTCTGTGGTACGACCTCTGTCATTGATGTGACCTCTGTCTTTGGTACGACCTCTGTGTGGTATGACCTCTCTCATTGATACGACCTTTGACCACTAATTTGATAATGGGACCTTGGCCATCAATAAAACCATTGCCACCAATAAGACCTTAATGTGAGAAAGTTCACTTTAATATAGAATACAAAGACCAGTCTGTCAGCAGAACAATTCAGCAGAAACCTTATTAGCAAAGGACTTATTAGGATAGGATATTACAGGTACTAACATCCATTGTTTTTTGGTTTTTTTTCAGCTTTTGTTTGTCAGACATCAATTTAAGATAGCATTCTTCAGTGAACTGAAGCAGGACAGCCACACAGCATTGAAGTAAGTATTTTAAGTCATGTCATATAAAATCCTGTCACTGTGATTATATTTCCATTAAAGCGGAAATCAGTCATATATTTGCAGCAAACACTGGTGTTGTATATTGATGGTGGTTTTATTTGATTTAGACAGGGAAAAAATAACCTCCAGTACATATCTACACTGGATCCATTTTAGGATCTTTATAGTTAAATTGATAAAAATATGTTTATATAGTGTATACAGTATAGCATGGTTTTAATATTTCAAGTTTACCGGTAAGTGGAGAAATGCAAATCAAAATAATTTCCCACTTTGCAAACACCCGTCCCTGTCCTTTCAAATAAGCACAAGAAAGGTTAAGTCTATAAAATTAACTTTGTGAAATATAAGTAATCTGTAGTATATGTAACAGTAAACAACGTGTAAATGTTTGTCCGTCTGTACAAGTACAGACACCTGCTGGAACTTAGAAGCTGTGAATTAAACTTTTCCATTAAATTCCTATTTATTGATATGCATTATATTTTAGTTTTACCTATAATGATATCGCAAATCATAGAATGTGTGAATAACAAATCTTTTCTCAGATCGTGAAAATATCACATGTACATTTCTACCTGTCATACAGTAAATTTGTAATTGTCTGTATATCTGTGCAGATATTGGAGAAAAAAACCCACACGAAGACCTGTTTGAGTGGAGAATATGAATATTTAATGACATGTCATTTTCTGTACAGACATTACAAACAAGCATATGGACACCTGTTAGAGATGAGGATGCATGATACCAACCTTCTGGAGATAAAGTCTATAGCTGGCTTCATCAACTACAAGGTGTGGCCACGCTCAAATAACATTGTTAACTTGATCCCTGATTTTTTCGTAAACATCCAAAAATAATTGAGAAATATCATTTCTTGTCATAACTTATTTTATTACTTTTCATATATTGTCAGGGACTTTCCTTAATATTTATTAACTTCCAAAGTGGAATAAAATACCCATGAAATTTGAATGGTTATAATACATATCAAACAATCATGTCCTTTCAACTAAATAGTTATAGCTCATTTAGGGAAGTTAAAAACATACCTACAAGGGTCTACTGAAGGCCCTGTTGTCTGTTTTGGAAAAGAAACATACTTGCAAGTTAGCCTATATAAGGATAGCAAGTCTATTCAGGATTTCAAAATACTGTTAACATTATTCTGGTATGTATCAATTTCTTCTGTACATTGAGATATTTTTGGTGTATGCAATATTTCTTTCCATCTTGGACAGATTTGTCGACTGTCTTTCCAACACAATGCCCCGCTAGACTCCATCGCTCAGTTCAGGAAGCACATTGACTTTTTCAAAAGTAAAGTTGGAATAGCAGAGCTGGCATTTGAACACAGTGCTTGGATGGCCAAACAGTATGTAAACATTTACTATTATATTGCACACTCTATGACATATTTCCTAAAGTAGACTGAAGGAAATTCTGCTTTGATACTTGGATACTTTCTGTGTTTGTATACACAGTATGTTTTTGAAATTTTTCCAATTGCTTTCAAATATTTGTTTGTATCCTCACAATATAATTTAAGTGAACTTAAATAATTTATGGTGTTTACTGTGAATAGTTCATTATGATAAAAAAAGTTAGAAAACATATAAAAATCAAGCTAGATATGGATACCCTTTCCATATTATTTATTCACCTGCATGCAAGAATACTACAACATCCAGAGCTAAGACGATAAATATCCATCTGATCAATTTGACATGTTTTTTGTTAGTTAAGGCATGGTAAGATACTAACGAGATATGTGTACCTGTCAGGTTCCAGGTGTTTGGTGATCTATTTGATGAGGCCATCAAGTTAGGTCTGACAGCCATACAGACACAACACCCAGGCTTTTACTACCAGCAGGCTGCTAATCATGCTGTCAACAGGAAGCAGCTCTGTCGGGGATTCTGTAAGGTAAAGTTACAACTCACTCTTAGGAACTCTGTAAGGTAGAGTTACAACTCACACTTAGGAACTCCGTAAGGTAAAGTTACAACTCACTCATAGGAACTCTGTAAGGTAAAGTCACAACTCACTCTTAGGAACTATGTAAGGTAAAGTTACAACTCACACTTAGGAACTCTGTAAGGTAAAGTTACAACTCTCTCTCAGGAACTCTGTAAGGTAAAGTTACAACTCTCTCTTAGGAACTATGTAAGGTAAAGTTACAACTCACACTTAGGAACTTATGTAAGGTAAAGTTACAACTCACTCTTAGGAACTCTGTAAGGTAAAGTTACAACTCACTCTCAAGAACTCTGTAAGGTAAAGTCACAACTCACTTTTAGGAACTCTGTAAGGTAAAGTTACAACTCACTCGTAGGAACTATGTAAGGTAAAGTCACAACTCA